CAGCCATACTCACTCCTTACGGGACCTCAACTTCTGAGCATGGGGCCGACTGTCCAGGTTCTGGGGAGAGAGCCTGCTGAGGACAATTAAAGACTGTTTACCCATCCTTCTGTCCCCAGGCTTGGGGAGCGGTGTCTCATCCCTTGGGGAACCTGCTGGACACACCACGCCTCAGCTGACCCCCATGAGCAGGAGGTCAAGCAGAGGCCGGAGTTCCCTGTGAAAAGCCTCTGCCTGCAGCCACCAAGCCAAGAGAACCTGCAGCCAGCAAGCTCTCCCTTCCTTCCCTTTTAAAATCAACACCCGTCCCCAGATTTGCTCTTGGCAAACACTGCTGAACTACTGCTGTTTTCCCTGAAGTCACTGAAGAGAGAGTTAGATAATGAGCTGGCACGCTCTTGTGAAATGTTTACTGTGTTCCTTGAAGCAAGGGACATGCTGGTTCCTAAACTAATTTGGGGTTGCTAGATCTTTTCTCCTCTTTTTGGAGATCTCTGAAGTAAACACAAGGGCTTAAGGATAATTAAGCCGTATCAGGGAGTCAAATCAGCAGTCACGGGGCTTCTTCCGAAAGGAGGACCGCTGCAGATCTGTCGGTAAGAATTTTTCTCAGTTCTCCCAACAGAAAGGGCAGAGACATGCATGAGCCTTAAGACGGGACATCACAGCGCACCCCAAAGATCAGGAGCAAAACACTGGGTGGCCTTAACTTTGGTGGCAGGGGCACACGGAACAAACCCAGGTATTCACCGAAAATCTCCTAACTGCAAACGGGTTTGTGTAATGGGGCTGACAGTTGAAAATGTCTCAGCCTCAACCTGGCATATTTCACAGTCTTATTTTTTTAAAAAATTAAAACTCAGGGCTCTCCAGTTCTGTGTAATTTCTGCAAGAACTCTAATAAATGAATCCACATAAGCCCTAAATTCCCACTTTTGAAACGGAGGTCTGGGGTTAGGATGACATTTATATAAATTTCACTTGGTATTTTGGTGGCATGTTTTTCCCAAGGAGTTCAAAGGCATTTATAGACATTCTGATTAGCGCGTGTGATATCCTGGTGGGGTGGCAAATTCTATTAGCTCAGTTTTACAATCGGGAATAGAAAGCCTTACAGCAGCCAAATGGTTTGGCAAAAACCATATGGCGTGTCACTGATAATGCTGTGAGCAGAAAACAGGGTTTTTTTCAGCATCTCTCTCCCTGCATTAGTTTTCTGTCCCACTTGCTTGCAGGATGTTTTTCTAAAAAGCACTGGATAAGGTAAGGTGATTCCTGGGGTCTGTGTGAAACGTCACCTGCGTTTTTGCCCGCTGGGCTGTGTTCGCCTGTGGAGACAGCCATGGCACTGAGCCTTGCCTCTGCACTTGTCAGGAAGGACAGGCCTCCGTGCATCGTCCCAGCCATCTGGAGAGCGGAGTCCAGAAAGCAAAGAGGGGCGTCCTGGCGACAATGCCCGGAAGAGGAGATGCACCCCACACACACAGCAGTTCCCGAGCCCCCTTTCCTCTGCACAACCTGCTCGGGCTTGCGGAGCGTGAGCTGTAACGACCTCCTCCGTCCCCTAGTCCAGGCAAGAAGTGGAGAGGGGAGGACAGGGAGGAGGGCGTGGGCTTGCTGCCTGGGGCAGATGGTGTGCTGGGAACAGATGCCAGGGACGAAGAAGACTCCCCGACACCCGTCGGCTGCCATCGCCTCTTCAAGGAGAAGGACCTCCGGGTGCAGAGAGCAGAGCAGGCAACGGCCAGAGGGTGAGGTGGCAGGACGGGGGTCCTGTACTCCATCCATGCCAAGGCATTTCAAGACCCCGCAGACACAACTGTTCAGGTGGCCCAGTAATAACGTTTGAGGAGCTGTGGCGGTGCAGTGGCCAGAAGGAGGTGCCAAAATATTGCAGCCGTGAGGCAGCATTAGCGGTGGGCCCAGGAGCGCCCATCCCTGCAAGCGGGCTCCCTGCACGGCCCTCTTTTCCCTGGTCACACAACCTGCTCCCTCCTGCGTCAGGGTCCCTACGGGCCATGCCATCTGCCAGGAGTACCCTTACCCACCTCGTACACGTGCACCCATCCTGTTCAAACTCAGATTCCTCAGGGAAGGCTTTCTTCCCCACCCCTTAATCTGGGGTCAAGCCCAGTCATCCCAGGACCTCCCAGTCCTTCCCTGCAGGTGGCTGATGACAACTGAGATAAAATCACTGATTGCTACTTAGCTGTGTGCTGGGCACTCCCACCCCTGGGAGGTAAGCCCCTCAGAGCGGCAGGTTCTTTCTCCTGGTCACCACTGCCTGCCCAATACTAACACGACGCCCATAAATACTTAATAAATGAATCAAGTCAATAGTTCATCAGTCTGGTCCAATGACACAAATATGGGGTGGCAGTGGGGGGAAGTTTGGGTTTACCAGCCCCCTACATGAAAACATTTAACCTCGAGTCCTGTGGTTGGCTTTCTTCTTCCCTCCAGGACTGAACTGCCTTTTTCTGGGACCTCGGTCTTCTGATTTCCAGCCCACACCATGGCCCCTGCGTCTGCCCCACACCTACTGCCGACAAGGAGAAGAGAGACAGGGAGGCGTCCCGGACCGTGTTCTCTATGTGGCAGTGACGCTTCCCTCGGAAAGATGCCCTTGGAAATCCAGTGAGGTCTCATTCCTGAAGGGATACTTTCTGCTGGAGAATAGTGAATTCACTTGTATTTTCCAATATGCACATTTTTTTCCCCATGGTAAATCTTTTCCATGAAATTTTGCAGCCTGTGCTTGCTTAGGAGGAATCAATTAAGGTTGTTATATTTTAGCTGTACTTCGAAATACACAGGAGATCCAAGTCTGAGCTCCTAATGGCTGTGTTTTATAAAATTAAGACCGCTCATTCAATTATGACTAAAGGCTCCATCAACATTATTGGCATTGTTTTAAGCCTTTTTTTTTCTCTCCATGGAATTCCATGCCTCCCAAAGGGAACTCCATGAAAACATCATTAGAAACAGCAGTATTAACCTCCCTTCACAGCTCTCCCAGCTGCCTTTTTTTCTTTTTTCAAATATCCAGAGGCATTTTTCAAAAGCAGAGAAATTCTCCAAGGAAGAAATTGCTTGGTGATCCGTCACTGCTACTAGAACACGACTACCAATTTTCATAAGTGGTAAAAGTAATTTCAGAAGAATAGCAATAGGCAAGTGGGATTGTGTGTGCGCATGTTGTGTGCATGCGTGTGTGTGTNGGGATCAGCGCCCAGCGCGCTGCTCTCCACGGCCCTCCAGCCTCACTTCCATACCAGCCTCCAGCTCCGACATGGCCACACACCACACCTGGAATTACTCAACGCTTAAGCCCTCTGGCGACCCAGAGATAAGGAAAGTGCGTGCTGGTAAAGAGTAGATGTGACTGTGCCCACTGCTGGTGGATCAGGTTGGGAAGCTGTGACATGTCCGTCTGGTCTAATGGGCGCTTGTCCATAGCCACAAGGATGCCCTTGCAGGGTGCATCACGGCAGTGTCCCCTGAGTAGGTTCAAACACTGCAGCTCTTTTGGGTCACCCCACACGGGGAGCCACTGTTCCCACTAAGCCCCCGCCCCCACCAGTCTAACACAGCCCCTCCCCGCCAAACAGCCCCAGGCATTGCACCTGAACTCTCTCACAGTGAAGGCCCCTTTTGACCCCTTTTCCTATAAGGAGGCTTCCATGCCCACCGCCTCCCAGGACTCTCTCTGCAAACCAGCACTGAAATGCCAGAGGGGCTCCAAGCCCCTCCCCCAAGGCAGTGGGGGCCTGGCTAACACACTTGTATAACTAAGAAGAACACCGCAAGAGTGACAGATAAAGACAAAGAACACCTGCTCCAAGGTGACCGTCCATGTGTAAAGGAGGCAGAAGCAGAGGGCGGGCGGCTTCCATAATCAATCTTAGCCTCCACCTCTCGGCCACAGTCCTGATGGGAGATGTGCATTGTGCCCAGATTGCATAATCCCATCTCATCCTGCCCTCCCGCTGGGGAAACTGAGGCCCAGGGGATAGAAGGGGCTTGTCTTCTAGGACGTGGGGAGGGTGAGATGGAACCAAGTCCGGGCACACCTGAGACCTCTCTTCCCTTCGACCTTTGCAGAAAAGAAAACCA